GAGGGGGGGGGGGGGGGAGGCCCCCCACGTTTAAAACACACCCCCCCCCCCCCCCCCCCGCCCAAAGAACTGGATGGATTTCCTGTTCCAGGTACAGTGAGAAGAGGAAGAAGTCAGTCAGTGTAACCAATCAGAGAAGAGAGCTTAAAGACAGCCAAAATGAAATCGAGATGTTAGCTTAGAAGTGGTTTACAAAGGCTAACAGACAGTTCGACAACACTGCAGACTAACAGGGACAAAACGTTCTTCTCTGTTTAATTTGGAACGGCTATAAAATTATCCTCACATTTAATTTTCCTAATGAGCTGAAGGTGGAACCTCCTCCACCCACAGTCCGACTCTGAGTGGACAGTAATTTACTTTACTGCTCCCTTTGGGTGGCGCTGCTCCCCACTCTCATCCACTCTGGAGCTCCTCCACCATCTCTGGAGACCAGTCCAGACTCGTGTCTCTGTCTCTGGAGGATAAATCAAAGTCTTTGCTGAGCCCACGAGACCAGTTTCTTTAATGAAATGAAAAGTGCTTCTTCAGTAAGACTAACACTGTGGATCTGTTTTTATTTCTCTGTGCACTCTTTGTGAAAGCTCGACAAATTAAATTCAGATTTCACAACTCTTCTTCTGGATTGACTTTTGAAGCTAAATTTTGATTGACTTTTAGTTCATCCTTTAGGTTTCTATGGCTGAAATTGAACTATTTTCAGCTAATTCAGAGGTGGAAAAGGTACTAAAGAATGTAATTAAGTAAAAATATCTTTACTTTACTTAAATTCTAGTACCATCTAAAAAACTACTAGAGTAAAAGTAATGACTTAATTTTACATTGACATTTACATTGAGTAAAAGTTACTCGATCACCTTAAATTACTCACGGCAAAAAAAAAAAACGAGTCATACATCCAATCTGCAACTAGTTGTTTTTAATCAACAATTCAAATACAAGGGGCTGAAGCTGAGAATTCTATGATCCATTTCAACGCCTATACTGAAAATTCAACCACTTAAGCACACCTAAGGTTCGACAGCAACAGCTCTGTCCGCCGGGGCAGGAACATTTTGCATCGCATAATAAAGTTATTGCCTGGTTTACATTTGAAAACAAAGAGCTGGCTGAGACATGGTCTAGGGTTTCTTTCTCTTTCTGAGTCTCTGCTTGGCAACCCTCAAACTCAGCCATCATCCAATGACAGGCCACAGCCTGTCTCAAAGTTAACACTATCTGGCTACATTAAAACAGTGGGAACTCTGCATCCACCCACGCAATTTTCTATGTTTTTTCCCCCGCATTAAATTTTTTACTTAGTAACAGGTTCTTTTACATTGCTGTAAAGTAAAACACTCGATTCAAAATGTACTTAAGTAACAGTAAAAATACCTATTCCCAAAACTACTTTTTTTGTAAAAATACCTATTCCCAAAACTACTTAAAGAATTACAAATTACAGTAACTTGAGTAAATGTAATTTGCTACTTCTGAAGGTCTTTCTCTGCTTGGTGTCTCTCGGCTCTTTTGTTTGCTAATTATGATTTATTTTCCTATTCCATACAGTGCAAACATTTTTTAACTCATCTCTAATATGTACCTTTAATCCTCAGGCTAAATTTGGATATTTTAGCTTATATGATGGTGTCATAGCTACTAATGTTTCAAGTTTGGTTATATATTTTATGCCAGTGTTGTCATGAGTTTATACTTTGACCTTTGAGCTCTTCTCTAGCTACAGCATTTTCCTTTAAGCAAATTCTTATGATGTTTTGCAGAAATTTGAATTTATTTTTCCTAAATGATTGGAAAAAAGGCTGTTGTCTCTGGGTTATAATGAAGACACTTGACATGTGCTGTCTGTCCAGTGACAACAGCAGAAACAGGAAGAAAGATAAAAAGCAACAACAGCTGTCATTGGTTGACATTAGCCTGGAGGTTTGCATTAACACGTGGCTTCAAATCCACATGAACAAACACACAGAGCAGGAGCTCCAGACATTTAATGTCCACTGCAGACACATGCAGAGCTGAATCGCCACCTCCTCCACTCATCTTCTTCTCCCTCTCTCCTGTCTTGTCTCTACATGTCGTCTTCTTTTTCTGGGCCTCAGGTTTCACCTTTCAGGTGAGGAATGATTTGTTTTTCTGCCCTTAGCTTAGATCGTGACATGTGTTTCTGTAGTGTGTGTGTGTGAGTGAGTGTGTGTGTGTGTTCAGACAGGGCACACCCTCGCAGAAGTATTTATGACTTTAATTCTGTGAAAGTAACCTAACTTTGTCAACAGAAACAGTATTTGCCAGAGATAAAAACTCCCGGGCTTTGTTTCAATGAGTTCAGAGGTCAACGTGGTCACATCTACAAAAATGTTTCCTGGCTGACAAATCAAACAACTTTGCTGTATGAAGACAGCAGTCAGGATTTCTACAATAGGTGAAAGTGAACTCCTTGTCATTGTGACACAGCACACCAAGGGCTCTGCCTTTAACCTGTTGTCTTAGTGAAATATTGGCAGCTGCGGCCGAGCGCCCGGGGAGCAGTGTGTGAGGACAGAGCCATGCTTAGTACACCTTAATGGAACCGGGTGGATTGGAACCTGCTACCTTTCAAACACAAGGCAGCTTCCTCAACTACCAAGCCACCACAGCCCCTAAAATTATGTTTTTGCCCATTCCCAGAACTAGAAAACACAGAACTAACACCATAGTTTGTGTTTTCCCCTGTTCACAGGTGTTTACAGCTTCACTGTTCACTGGCTCTGTACACCTACAACAACAGTGTAATCAAAACGTTGATTACACATGCAACGGAAAAACAATTCTCAGATGGACACTTAAATAGTATAGCGGTTAGCACGCCTGCCTCAGAAGAGAGTCCTGGGTTTAATTCCCAGAGGAACCACATGCTTGGCCCCTTATTAGGGGCAGCCTGTTAACAGCAAATCTGCTGCTAACACAACCATTTCCCAAATAGGGATCACCAAGGGCTCTGTATTTATTTGTTATTTTATTTTGAAGGGGTCCTCTGTGAAGTGGCTGTGGGGCAGCAGCAGCAGCAGGGCTTACAGTATACTAACCCAGTGACCTGCATTGCAGAGGCCTTTTTTTTCTCTTTATATCAAGTGCCGTACATGTTTAAACACCCGCTACACAATGTCTATATTCACCCCTTTGACAATGCCGCCCTCTAATGTATAAACAATATAATTTCACTGGAGCCAATTTGTTTTTTGTTTTTTTCCCCCAATCTAATATTAACCATTTGCAGACATTTCTAAGAAGTAAACATGTATTCCTGTACTTCTTGTGAGTTATCCCATAATTGCTACATGCTGCTATGGGCCTAGACTGCTGGGAGAAATCCCATGGTGCGGTGAGCCCTTTCACTCCCCTGCTCTTCTTATAAATAAAGACAATGTTATGACAAAAACCTGGTCTCCTCTTTCTCCATTAGTTGGCGTCATGCTTCTCTATCCCTGTCACTGTCTTCACCTCACAGGTTCCTGTGCCTCCAGAACTGCAGAACCTGAACCTAACCCAGATTTGAGATGCATCATCATCCATATTTATATATTTATACTTTATTAGCTATTATATTAGTGTTGGACGTCTATTCCTGTTCTCTCCTCTTTTCTTCTTCTTCCTTGATTTCTTCTTCTAACTCTCGTTGCCGAGGCAGACGACAACACTGGATATCTTCCTGTTGTTTCTCCCCACTGTTGCTAAAATGCTTACCCAGTGTGTAACTGTAACTTTAGTCTGCATTAGTTTGTATTTTTAATACATTCACCCCGTTTATTGTGATTTAGGAGGATTTTTAATGTCAATCTTTATTTAAAACTGTGAAGTCCAGTGAGAAAGTTGTGAATCCGTGCTATCAAAATAAAATTGACTTGACTTCTTGCAAAGTATTTATTTATATTTTATATTGGTGTTTTTTCTAAATAATTATAAACCGTCAACTTCGTTAGTTAAACGTATATCCAAATAAAAGCATACATTTCAATTTACGAACAAAAAACAAAACAGGGATTTTATTGTGAAGGCTCATTTCCGTTTGGTGATTCCGTTAATGTGCTGACTTTACAGCGCAGGTGTAATTCACCCGAGTAATGATGGGAAGACCGACTCTTTTTATTGATTCGAATCTTTGACTCTCGAACAGTAAAATGAACGAGTCGTGAACGAATCTTAAACTAATCATTTCATTCGTTTTACAGCAGGTGGCGCTTTAGCCCTATTGTGGGCGTTGTAAAGAAGGCTGCGGTTCTCCGACACTAAATAAGGCAACATGTTTTGCTTCCGCTGACAAAGTCTACAAAGTACACAAAATGCCATAAGTAATTAAAACCATGCGAAAAGCTAAGAAATAAAAACACACCACAATGTGAAGATGAATGAGAGCAAAAAGACCCGAGCTCTTTCACGTGACAAATGAAACGAAAGATTAGTTCACGGCGAAAGATTAGTTCACAGAGAGTGACTCGTTTGCAATGAAAGATTAGTTTGCAGAGTAATTCGTTCGTAGTGAAAGATTAGTTCACAGTGAAAGATTGGTTCACAGTGAAAGATTAGTTTGCAGTGAGTGATTAGTTTGCAGTGAGTGATTGGTGAGTGATTCGTGAGTTCAATATGAACAAATATTTCATATGACTCGGAAGTCACGAGTCACGAATCTTTCATATGACTCGGGAGTCACGAGTCACGAGTCATATGAATCATTCATTTTGAACGAATCACTCGCGAACGACACATCACTACACCCGAGGACAGAGAGCCAGTGGAGAGGGAGTGGTGGTATAGTCACTAGTGATAGTAGTAGCGGTGGAGGAGAAGAGAAGAAACAGGAGGACCAACCATGGCTCTGAACCTACTGAGGAAATCTCAGGAGCTGTTCATCTTCCTTACCATCCGGATCCTCCTCCTCGTTTTCCGGCTAATCTCCCACTTCAAGGCCAGTCCATCGGCCGCGAGTCGGCGACTGCCGCCGGTGAGAGACCCGCTGCTGCTGCTGCCAGCGACGCAGTTGGCCAGAAAGATCCGACGGAGGGAGGTGCGTAAGCGGCAGCTGTGGCCGACTTTTCAGCCACTCCAGCATAACTTCTTGATTGTTATGCTGTAATAACTTTTGAACGTATTTGCTGATTTAAATTAACAACGATGTTGAATGAGAGCAAATCGATCCATGAGCTGATTGACGGTAACAGTTCGCCGCTGTTCCAAATGAGTGTATTGTCTATTAATAACAGCAGAATGAAGCCTATAAAGTCAGAGGCAGCTGCTCTTTGACCATGTGTATAATCTGTATAAGTCCTGAGACTGACCCACTGCCACACCTGACACCAAACCCCGAAAACCTGAAAAGTAAAAAATCCAATCTAAACAAAAACGGTCTCTGTACCATGGAGTCATATACACTGGTCCACGTACTGGTCCGAGATAACACAAGGACGATTTAAAAAGAAGATATAAAAGGTGTTTACACCTTGTTCGATAATGTATGGCTGATAAAAGAAAAAAAAAACTACATAAAATAAGACTAAATTCATTTCAAAAACTAGGAAAGCAAAATCGAGTCATTAAGATAAAAGTACATAATATACATAATCAGGAGTTGAAAAATGTTTAATAAACCAAAAAACTTAAAGGAAAAAAAAAGAGCTAAAGTATAAGTTAAACTGTTAACCAACAACCAAGTTAACCCTTAAACATAAGCTGTAGATTATTAATGGGGGAAAAAAGGTGTGCTTTAAGTTAGAACCAAAAGTCGGGCAAAATAAATCATTTGCATGTGTGTTCTAAAAGCCATGAACACACATGCACACACACACATTGACTGGCCCGGGGTCACCTGGTAACCCTGGTGGACTACCTAAAAAACTCCCCTTTTTCCTTCCTTCCTTCCTTCCTTCCTTCCTTCCTTCCTTCCTTCCTTCCTTCCTTCCTTCTTTCCATCCTTCCCTGGCCTCTCTTTGTCCCTTCCTGTTTTTCTGTTGCATGAAAACCTCACAAGAGGATGCCATGTTTGTTCTGTTGAATCTGAAATTTAAATATATGTGTTTTGAATCCACTTGTGTGACTGGCATCTCTGAATTTTTCAGGATATCAACGTGTGTAGCTGAAGTGTGTGTGTGTGTGTGTGTGTGTGTGTGTTTTGTAGGTGTCCAGTGTGGAGGTGGTGCAGGCCTACATCGACAGGATCCAGGAAGTCAACCCTCTCATCAACGCTGTGGTCAAAGACAGGGGAGAAGAAACCAGCGACACAGCGTTTCAAGTTCAACCAAGAGTTATTCCTTACTTTATTCCTGTGTTGCAGGTTTGCTGCTGCCCTCCAGGAGGCGACACAGGTTGATAAGTTGATCGAGGAAGAAAAGGGAGGGGAGGATGTGCTGGAGGACCGGCTGCCTTTACTGGGAGTTCCAGTGTCGATCAAAGAGTCTTTTGCTGTGCAGGGTAAACAGTTCTTCGTGATCCAGCGTGGTGACATCATAGATGTGTCTGTGGAGAAGAAGGACATCGTACTGCCCCCAGGATTTCCAGTTGTTATAGTTGTTGTATCCACATCACAGGGATGAGAGGCAGTGAATACATCCTTCAAGGCATAACAGAAAATGACTCGGCCATTTTAACTACATATAATGTATATGCCAGTCATCTGCATTCATTTGTGACAAAGTTGTAACTAAACCTTTTACTGAAATTGTTTTGATTGATCAAAGAACAGATGTCAGTGCCTCACAGCCAGTAATCCTCCGGTGATGCTCCTTTTTAGTCGCTCGTTCAAGTCTCACTTCTGAAGCAGTTCTGGTACTAAACAAGTCCAATCTCCAAATCATTTCTCTCAGGGTCAGTTTTGAAAGATTCTTGCTGTGCGAGGTGTCTTCAGGCAGGGAGTGGAAGCAGCCGGTAGATGGTCGATTTGTTTTAATAACAAATGTCAAACAAAACAGGTCCAAAAATAAAGCAAAATAAACGACTGGAGAAGTATTCAAGGAAATCTCGTACAACAGTAGTTAATACGCAAATCCTGTCAAGAATAACTTCTAAAGTTAGTTGTTTATGCTTATATACCTGTATGGGGGGAGGGGTTTTCGACTTCTATGTGGCACTCTTGTTCCATGATTCAGCAGTGTTGGAAGAAGCTTTTGTTGCTCAGTGGGGGGTTATCACAAGCGAGGTATACGGAGCCATGAAGTCCAGTCAACCACAGGAGCACATGCAGATCGAAAGGAATGGATGGCTCCAGGGTTCCCTGTTAGAAGGTAGATTGGGAGATCTCCCACTGTTATGCGAAGATCTCCCATTGTTATGTGGAGATCTCCCATTGTTTCCAGAGAGTAGAGATGTTCTTAGAGAATTGGTGTGAAGAGGATTTGGGGAAATTCTCTTTGAATGTGTGGGGCTTTGTGACTGTGTGTGCTCGGGAAAGCCTTTTGGTGTCTTAGCACCTTCCTGCTGCAGACCCAACCAAATGTGAAAAACCACTGAAATCTAAGAGTTTGTCCTTGCTCCAGTGGTCATAATGATGCTGCAGCTGCTCATAGACCTGTAGGTGGAGGGTTTGTCTGTTTGGGCACAAATCCAGCGTCAGGCCTCCCCCTAAAGCCCACAGTGTTCACTCTGGGAGGCTGAGCCAGGAAAAGAATCTGACCAATGTGACTGTGCAGATTATCTGCCGTAGAAAACCCTGACACAGCTGACTGTGTTTGTTCTTGAGATCAGAGTTCAGACAACTCAGTGAAACACCATGACTACATCAGAGCTGGGTCATAGGTCAGAGTCTGTTTATATTTATGATGATGTTTGACCAACCGAAACCGATGAAACATTTCCATTGCCCAATGCTACAGGTTTGATATCCAGGCGAGAATTTGTGTCCACCAGTGATGCCGTCCTGGTGGCCTTGTTGAAGAGAGCGGGCGCCATCCCACTGGGTGTCACCAACACCAGTGAGCTGTGCATGTGGGCCGAGTCCAACAACCACCTGTACGGCATTGCGAGGAATCCATACGACCTGAACAGGACGCCGGGAGGAAGCTCAGGTGAGAAGAGAGATTTCATATATAACTCAGGATTGTCTGTCAATCACCGTCCTGATGTTCCTGAACCCAAAAATACTCCAGTTAAGGCCTAGTTTGACCCCTAATTTCCAGATGAACTGTGACATCATCACAATCATCTCATCACTTTTCCCACTCTTGTCCTCAGGAGGTGAGGGCAGTATCCTGGGGGCAGCGGGAGCGGTCATTGGTGTGGGCTCGGACATTGGCGGCAGTATCCGAATGCCTGCTTTTTTTAATGGAATATTTGGACATAAAACCACTCCAGGTGAGAAAACCTTAGTACTGACCCGAGGTCAACCTCACGCACACTGAAGTGGACTGCAACTGCTTAAGTAAGAGCAGGTTCCCCCCGGACTCTGCAGTTTGTAGGCTTCTTTTTTTGAAGCTTTGCTCTCTCTTTAGCTGTCATTTCTGTTCATGCTTCCCTGCAGGTATTGTGTCCAACGATGGCCAGTTCCCCCCGTCATCAGGCAGACATTTGGAGTACGTCAGTAATGGTCCCATGTGCCGCTACGCTGATGATCTGCTGCCCATGCTCAGGATCATGGCTGGACCTAATCTCAAGATGTGAGAGACTCTGAGGATTCAAGTCCAAGTCCCCAACTTCCTTCAGCTGAGTCATCGTTCACAGATGTTGTAGTGACCCTGCATGTGCACACAGGTTGTCCTTAGACATGAAGGTTGATCTGAAGAAGCTGAGGTTCTTCACTTTACCTGACGACGGAGGCCGGTCTCTTGCTTTTCCTGTCAGTAGCGAGATCAAAGACATGCAGAGGAAGGTGTGTTGAAATTTTCCTCCAACACAGAATATTGAGTTTAGTCATTAAAAAAAGCTGCGGCTGATGTTGTGCAGATGGTGGAGCGTCTGGAGTCTGATCTGGGAGTCAGGGTAGAAGAAGTGAACTTCCCCGAGCTACAGTACAGCACTCAGATCTGGATGACCTACATGTCTCTACCTGATGACGACGGTAAGGTAGGTCCAGATGACAAGTCGTGTTTCAGCAGTGAACGCAGCAGACTGCAGGACAGTTCTTTATTTAAATCCTTTGACATTTTTGCTGCAGCCTCCTCAACCGTTCACTGAGTTGATGGGAGAACCAGGACCACCAGTGAAACCTCTGTGGGAGCTGCTGAAGAGGCTGCTGGGCATGTCAGACCACACTGTTGCTGCTATTGGTGAGAGAGATACCAGATAATTGTATAATTGGAGTTGGTAAAGGTACTAATCCAAATTTAAAATAAATCTCTACCTAAGGCTTTGGCCCTCTATCGCCTCTGTTCTTCAGTGGTGTTTGTTAATTAAATTATTTTACCAATCATTCAGGTCTGGCCATCAGTGAGATGGCCAACCCAGCTGCCCCTCCACCCTTCATCCTTCAGCAGAAGAAGAGCCTCCAAGAGAAGGTGGACAAGCTGCTGGGCACTGATGGTGTTCTGTTTTGCCCTCCACACCCCAGGGTGGCACCACGACACCATGAACCTCTCCTCAGACCCTACGACTTCTCCTACACCGGTTAGTCCTCACTCACTCATATAACTCTACACCGGTTAGTCCTCACTCACTCATCTATTAACAGTGTACCTTTCTCATCAAGCTCACAATAACACTACCAGTACTATGCAACATGAACATGTTTTCTTCATGTTCAGTGGGGAAGACTAACATTGAGTCCCATCCAAACCCTCATGTCTCTCCAAATGCCTCCATTGTCCTCTCTACCCGCAGCAATCTTCAACATACTTGGGCTGCCGGTTACCCAGTGTCCTCTGGGTCTGAGTAAGGAAGGCCTGCCTCTGGGGGTACAGGTGATCGGTGGGAAGCTGCAGGACCAGGTGACCCTGGCTGTGGCTATCTACCTGGAGAAGACCTTCGGAGGCTGGAGGGATCCTGGATCCATCTGAAGCTCTGATTATAGAGATTGACACTAAACCTCTTGAAAGTTTTAATTAACAAAATTTAGCATTAATGACTGGTTAGATCTGGTACATGCTTAAAACATGATTTTGATGCATAATGAGCTTTAAAGCATCCGAAACTCTAAATAGAAAAATTAGAAAAACCTAAAATTACTAATTGTATGACATAAACTGTGGATGTGGATTCAAATTAGGATTTAATCCAGATCCAGATCAGAAACGATAATCCAGTTTAATAACTTTTGATCTTTTTGATATAAAGACCTTGACTGTAGAGTTGCAGCTATGCTGTCAAAGCACAAGATTTTATTTTTATTATTATTGTTTGATTTTATTAGTGATTTTTATTCTGAATATTCATTTGATGTAAGAATTCATTGCAGTGATTGTTTTTACATTTACACTTATGCATTAGCAGATGCTTTTATCCAAAGTGACTTACAAGAGGAGGATTAACACTCAGGTTACATAGGAGGAACTCTTGAAATGAGACCAGTAGTTAGGAATCAAGTGCACAAGGAGATCAAGGAAGGTAGGAGTAGAGGAGGACAGGAGGTGCTCTCTGAAGAGCTGAGTCTTCAGGAGTTTCTTGAGGACCGGCAGGGCTGACCCTGTTATAGAATTGCGTCACACACACTCTTTTTCTCTCTCTCTCTCTTACACATACACACACATATAGTTTTAGGATGGTTGCTTCTGGCTTAAGTCACAGCTCCACCTAGCTGTCGTCTGGTGACACGGTAGAATTTTACTGTGAGGTTTTTAGTTTGTAAATGATACATTCATTCCTCAACCTTTTTTGCTGCGTGTTTCCCAGCTTCTCCTGAGCTGCTCTTATATTTCTATCACAAGAGAGTTCCATCACAAAGAAAATAAAACAACATTTGAATCATTTAAACTAATAAAAGTGAAGAACCACTCCTGCAGTAAGAACCTGGAGATGTTACATCAGGGAAAAGGTCTGACAGAAACACACTCACCAAACAATCACCAGTGACCCTCCTTCTGGAAAAGGACAAGGTTTTTGATGCACCAACATCTGTATGAATAAATATTCCATTATTCCTTTCCAATTCCAGTGACATTTATTGGGTATTTTTGTAGTTGGGAACCTGTTACTTCGAAATTATTTTGATCCATGAAAAGTTTTAATCTTTAGAATCACTTATTCAAACAACTAGATTCATATTTTCCTACTGTTTTTCTAAGCCACCAATCTACAGAAATGAAAGGCCTGAAGGTTCTGCTGTCACATGACAGGAGAAGAAGAAACTGCAAATGGTCACAAACATGTCAGAAAAATACTGTTTATTTGATTCTTTCTAGATGCGTGACATGCTTGTACCTGCGCATACAAAAGGTTGAAAGATGCCGGCGGTTTAGGGTCTGCGTCCAGACAGAGTGGTCCAGACTGCAGCGTCATTCAGGTGGAAAGTGACTTTATTAAAAAAAAAAATTAGAAACCATGGTCAAAGTCCTGCTGTGAGGAGGTGCAGGAGAAGGAGGAAGGATCTCTCTCCTCCACAGTGCGTCTCCTCCCCCTCCTCCTCTCTGTCTGTGCCAATGTTTGTCTTTTTCTCTTTTGTTTTTTGTGGATGGTGAAGGCATTGGTGACTGCAGCTCAGGAGGAGCTGGTGATGGGTTTGTATTTCTTCAGACGAGTCCACTGTCCTGTGGAGTAGTTCATTTCGAAAACTGTGTCCACCAGCATGGTTGTGCTCCCCGTGCCATCGGCTTTGGGCAAAACCTCCGTGTGCTCGCTCAGCTTGATCTGGATGATGTCTCCCTGCTCCGGACATGGGTTCTCTGCAGGAATAGGAGGAAGTGAGACCAGGGTTGTTGTCAACTTCATTACAGTGGTGCTGAAAATGGACCAGTCCTTTCATACCTCTGGATCCTGCCATGAAGCCCAGGATGAGCGCCTTCTCTGGTCTGGTGACCTTGTTGGCCGTCTTGAACATCTCCTGAGCCGCGTACATCTGGTCCCTCTGGTGAACAGAGACAAAGAAATTATTATTACATAATGAATACAAGTTTTTTGTTTTTATTATTTAATATTATCATCTTTATTATGATGATGTGTTAAAGGGGTCTAAAAAAAGTCAATAATCAATTATATTAAACTTATATAACGACATACACATGTCAAATAGATAATCAATTATATTAAACTTATATAACAACATACACATGTCAAATAGTCAAACGTGTTTCAGAGAAATATCTCTTGTGTTTGGACTCACCGTGAGTGACAGATTCTTTTTGGGCTGAGGCTGTGGTGGTAAAGGGGCTGGTGTTGGGGTCTGTGTCTGGGGCGTGCTGGGTGGCTGGCTGGGCGTCTCAGGCTGGCTGGCAGTGGCAGCGGCCGGGGGGCCGTTGTTTGCTGGGGTGGAAGTGGGTGTGCTGGGCGACGTGGGCGTTGCAGGGTTGGCCGTGCTGCTGGCATTGTACATGGGCGTCCTCTGTTTGTACTGGCCCGGAAGGGTGGGTGTGGCACCGGCGCCTGCCGTAGCTGACTCCTCCGGCTGACGAGTGGACTGCAGTTGGTCACGACCAGAGCCACCAGCGTTTGCTTTTGTGGAAAAAAGGAGTGCGAGTTAAAAAAAAAAAAAACTACAACAGAATGTATCCTAATCCTCTCTTATCTAATTGTCATTAATCCTCTAACAGGTGTTCTGAGATTAACACAGATGTTGAGATTAAAACTGATTTTCTGAGATTAGCATAGATTATGGTCAACTTCTCTGACCTGGCTGAGCCTCAGAGCTGGGAATGTAGGAGGAAGAAGGAACCATGCTGGGTGTAGCTGGTAGGTAACTGGTAGACGGGAGAGGATTCTCATTCAACGCCCCCAGTTTCTGAAAATTAAAAAAAAAAAAGTTAAACGAGAGCAACAGGTGGTATAAACAGAAAGGTCAGGTCAATATGACCGAACATAAAGAACCTGTGCAGAGACGAGGCCTGCAGCGTAGTCTGGTGTGGTGTTTTCAACCACTGCTTCTTCTTTGGCTGCTTTCTCTCCAGCTTCTGTTTCTACAACACAAATAATGAAGGCATAATGTTAGCACTGATAAAGTCATGTGTTTGTGCCTCAAACTTTAGAAAGTAAAAGGTGGGAATAGTAAAAAAAATACCCTGAGTCTTTCTTCTCCTTTTGGCTTCTCTTCCAGCACCGACCATGTCCAGCTCAGAGAAGTCCAAAAGCTGTAGAGGAAAGTGAAGAAAATCACACTCACACCAGTGAAGATGTGTGTCAAGACAGGACTGGACTCAAATCTCACCTTGACCCCCCGCTCCTTACGCAGAGGAGTCCGTGCAGGTGCCATGGGTGTGCGGTTACTTGGTGGGCTGAACATGCTGGGGGCAGTGGGGTTTCTGAACGGGGCCTTGGGAATTCCCTTCAGTGGAGCTGTGATACAGATTAGGTCAAATTACAAAATCAGACATGACAATAATATTCAATATTAGTGAATATAAGTGACTGTTTGGTCTGACTGTAGGTCTGAATGAGCGTTTATTTCTGCTTTAATGTGAAAAAAAAAAATCATGAATGTGGAGTCCATGAATCTTCAGCAGCAGCTTCTACCCAGATTGGTCCTGACTTCCCCACAGGCATACACCCATTTTACCAAAAGGTAAAGTTCAGTAAAAAGGACTAAATCACGACCTTTCCTTGGTGGCTGTCCTTTTATACCAAATCAGGAGACCTTGATCTGTTACCAGTTAAGGCTGATAATACGATTCTTACTTCCTAACCTGTTTGTGTTTTAAAAACAGAAATATAGTTGTGGAAACCACTAAAAAGTGTTTTCTTTTAAAGCAGTTCCAGGAGAAAATACCAAACTTGTAAATGAGGTAAGTGTGTTCTTCCACTCACTGGTGGTATCAATCTTTTTAACCAGTCCTCTCCCTTTGGCGTGGAACGGCACTCCTGCCGTCTTCTTCAGCTGCTGGGCTGTCTCTGTAGCTGGAAGGAAAGGAACATTAACAGATTACTTTTTACACCACAACCATCAGATGTTGGAACAGATGAAAATGACATTAGTTAAAACTACACACAGTGACATTCATCAGTTCCTTACATTTCTGCAGCAGCTCTGCTCTCAGCGTTGCACTCTTTGGTTTCCTTTTCAGCTGGAAATGTTTGACAGGGGGCGTGAGCGGTCCCACCAGTGTGGTCAACGCACTCTTGTTGAGGTACTGACACTCCAGAGGAAGCATTGTGGATGCCTCACATTCACTCACTGAAGAAAAAAGTCAACAGACCTTTATTTTAGACTGGATAAATAAACTAGTTTGTAATAGTAGACACTTTGTGTCACTGGTTTACTTGAGAAAGCAAACTCTTGGGTGTTAATGCGTATGTCAGTCTGAAACACTTGACCATGTGTGAAAACGAGCATCGGCACACATTCTGGTACTGCCGTATGTTATGTGAACACAATTAAACTATAGCACAATGATGTCGGCAGGACAAGTCCATCTTATTTGTATAGGCTAAATTCACAAAATACATTTGTCTCCTTGGACATAGTTTTAAAGAAGGATTAAAATTGGTTTTCCTAAAAAAAAACTCTTTAGCAGGGGAAGATGAAGGTTGGAAGATTAGACTAAAGCAGGATCAAGGTACACAACAAAGGTGGGGAGAAAAACTGCCTTTTGAACAATCAGGAGTTAGAATAATTGTATTCAGCCTAGGATGCAGCAGTAATTTGGATCCTTGTTTCCTGCTTTAGTTTAGACTATGGAGTGGGACACATCCGACCTTTCTCTCTGAGTTCGCCAAGAATATCCTGCACATTTGGATTCTGCTCCTCCAAATCCAAATTGAGAGAGCCAGTCTCTGGGAATGATTTGAGGATGTCTGCAACCATCAACACCCAGGGTTCTGAGTCCACAGTAGCCAGCTGGATGATCTCTGACAGGGCCTCTTTCATCTGGCAACAAAGGAAGGTGGTGGTTAAAACACAGGACAAAGCTTACAATACTTAGTTAGACAATACTTTTGTGATATTTGTTATCATATTTGATATTTGATGTATCCTGATTCAGTGCGACACAAGTTCAAGTTAGTTAAAGTCTTTGGTTCACTCCACATATTTAGACTTACTCATAGTCAATCCCACTGCAGGAAGATTTCTAGTTCAGCAAGTGAAAGCGTGTCTCCAAACAAGGCCATTATCGACACAGATAAAAGTTGACAATTGACAATGATTTTCCTTATATTTTATTATAAACTCCTGTTTCCATGGGCAAAGACAAATCACATTTGAAGCTTTTCAATAAAAGCCTTAACAGGAGTTATGGATCCAGGATCTATAACACCCGGTAGATATTTTAAAAATATTTCCATAAAGTAGATAGTATATTTTTTCTTTATTTTTCTCACCTATATAAATCATTATTCTCGTTGTTGGACCGCCCTCCCGCTCACTGACTACACTCTCCTGAGCCCATCCCACCAACATGTCTGGACGACACTCGGCAGGCAAATGTTTCCCCGTCGCCACTGGTAAACCCCGGTCAGATTAACTCTAATAACAGCCTAATACGGATTAGCTATAAGGTGATTTCACCTTAATTTAGATTCGCAAATATTCTTCTTTTAAACTGAAACGGAAATCTGTTTCGGATAATTACTTTAGAGCACTCGCATGTAATGATATTAACGGAGCTTTAAATTACCTACCTAATGCTAACAAGGTAGCTCTACATCGTATATTCCACGCGCGTTGCATATTTTAACTATTAAATAAAGAGTATCGTTTCATCGCAGTGATTTTTGATCCTGTTTTCAATCGTTATTTTGCGTTTTTTTTTTTTTTTTTTACAGTTATCTAACGCAATGCTAACGGGAAGCTAACGCTCAGTGATGTCTCACCTCGTCAACGGTCCGCCTAGGAAGGTGCAGCATCCCGAGCAGCAGTTTGAGCTTCACTGGCGGTGAAAGGCTGGAAAAGCATAACCGTATGTTGTCGATAACCGACACTGTAAGAAGGGAGGCGATGCTCGGCGGCGTCCAGAGCTCGTCAGTGGAGCCCAGCTTGTTGTGAAGCCACAGGCCGGTGTCGCTGTCCTTCATCGACGCCATCTTGGAAAAAGAAGTGTTTTGAGTTCGGGCATTTTAACAGGCTACCTAAGAAAACAGCAGCAAGGACCCCGCCCACCTTGTGTTTGTTGTGTGAAGGAAAAATCAAAGAAGCTGGATCTCACATATAACTAAATATTAATATAAATATTAATGTATATGTCAAATAGTGACTCCATGCAAAAGATACAGCTACTTGTATCTTTTGCATGTTTTTGAACTCTGCCTTTTAAATCGAATAAATAATTGCAATACTCAAATCCACTGTGATATCACTTTTGTCAATCAAAAATCAACTTGAAAATAATAATAATATTTGAATATATATATATACTATATATAAATATATTCTATACTACAATAAATATAAACTGGCTCCTCAATAAAGCAATCTAAAATCAGAGTTTACCTGATGTATTTTTTTATTTTTTTACAAAATGTGATAGTAAAAAATAAAATTTACAATGACATTTTGTAACAAAACATGAAGTGATTGCTCCCTGTCCAGATAGCACGCACAAATGCGTCCTGTTTTTTGTTTTGTTTTGTTTTGGTGTGATTAATGTTTGGTCAACAGTAATCTGAATTTATGTTTGTCTCAAGTTTGGTAGTTACGAAAAAAAAAAGTATAAAGTATCTCGTGAGCACGTTTCTTTTTTCCCCATGTCCCTTTGGAGGATCCGTACTTATGTATGTCTATCCGGAGTAATTAAATTTATAATTTTTCATAAACCAATTATATTGACTCTGTCTGAAATGGGTGTTTATTGTTAGGAGGTGAGCTTTCAAGCATACTTCGGTCCAGTCCTCCTCAAATCTTTTTGCAAGGAATTTACTCGTCCATTTTTCCTATGCTCAGTAGAGTCCTTATAATTAGTAACCCGAGCAAGGATATCTGACTCGCCAGTACAATGGTTCACTACTAGGTAGTTTTGTAATATGGATAGACGGTGTTGTACATAGGAGTGTGCCTATGTATAAACAAAAACTCATTAACTGTAAATATTTAAATAATCCTTGTATAGATCCACAACTTCACGGATGCCTTTTTTTGCCCACATTCCAAAACGTTGGTCTTTTCTACCCGAAGACACGCGTCGCAGTTCATCTAATAAATTTATTTCACCTAAACCATTCCATCTTAAGTTTCTGTTGTTGTTATAGTTTTGTCTTAAATTACCTTCATTGTCGGCAGCATTTATTTTGTAGCTTTTACTGGAAGTACTGGATTCGATTCCCAAGAGAACGTAATGACTGCGCATGCTCGCTGCAGTAACCTACATTAAAGAGTCTCGGAAGGAGAGCATCCAGCGGCGATTGTTACAAATATCATCGATTGGTCGGCGGTAGGTCAAAACAGAGCTTATTTTTTGAAATTGTCATTTCATTAGTCTATAATGTAGTGTTCCTGTAAATAAATGCCCAATGAAAACGACACCAACGTTTTAAAAATCATTTCATATGAATTAGGGCTTTGACGATCCCAGCGACTGACGCCGTTTCCTTGTTGTTTCTGCTGTTTTAGAAACCCTGTCTAACCTTAGGTTGTCTACCTTCACTATATACATATAAAGAGGAGAAAAGGATCTTCATCAACATCATCATGGCATCCGGCGGGGGTTACGTGCAGACGGCGCTGCTGATGCTGCTGATGCTGCTCAGCCTCCAGCTGCTGTGTCTCGGTGCAGCAGAGGCAGATCAAGATTCTGGGACAGTCATCCCTGCAGAAAGTAGGTGCATGTGTCAAATGTGCAGCCCGACAGTTGTGTCTGTCTTCGGTCTGTGTCAGAGTTAATGAGGTGAGATGTTAGTTAGAGTTTCTTCAGCTGGGAGAATGTGAAGGTCATCTTTAATGGTTTTGTTCTCCACCACCATGAACTTTGCTAAAAATTGGATCCAGACCAATTTGTCTGTGTACAAATTGCCTGAATGATCCCAGACAACATTAAAATGTCAGTCCCAAATATATATGGTATCAGTACAGAGCAGAGGTGAGATGTTAGTTAGAGTTTCTTCAGCTGGGAGAATGTGAAGGTCATCTTTAATGGTTTTGTTCTCCACCACCATGAACTTTGCTAAAAATTGGATCCAGACCAATTTGTCTGTGTACAAATTGCCTGAATGATCCCAGACAACATTAAAATGTCAGTCCCAAATATATATGGTATCAGTACAGAGCAGTTAGTGTTCTTGCCTTACAGTAAGAAGACGACTGGTTTGATCCCTGCTGGTAATTGATGGTTGTTTTACTTCTGCCAGTCTGTTGTTCACAATAAACTGACCACACAATGAATGTGAGTGTGAATGTTGGTTATCTCTATATGTGACACCCTCCCAAACACAGTGACTCTGAAATGAATGAATTTGCATTAAATCAATAACTTGCTCTTTTTTGCAGGTCGCCCCTGTGTAGACTGTCATGCCTTTGAGTTCATGCAGAGGGCCCTGCAGGATCTGAAGAAGACTGCCTTCAACCTGGATGCTAGAGTAAGTAAGAGATTCCCCGTCATATTGTTAATTATTTCTGTAGCTGAAGATTAGATTTTAATTAGTTTATAGTAAAAACGAAAAGCAAAAACAAAAGTTTTAACTACAATAAAATAGTCAGGCAAAATCTTTGTTCTCATAGCAGACAGTAAGGAGGTACAATGGCCACAGTTGGACAACATATCCTGGAAAGAAGAAAGCACCAGGAACAGGGAATAGTTTGACTGGCGAGAGGGTGTAGTGTTAGAGGAGCACTGAGAAGGTTGACTTGACATGTGGTGGGGGCAAAGATGGAGGTTGTCTGTTTTTATACTTGAATAAATGAGGTGATGTTGAAGTGTTGAAGGTGACGTGACCCATTTACTGTTTGTCTGTCACAGACAGAGACTTTAGTGCTGAGAGCAGAGAGGAGGGCCCTCTGTGACTGTATGTCCACCAGCTCACTGCGCTGAAGTCACCATGACGACCACCTGATGTCCAGACTACCATGTCTGTATCCCACTTTTGTCATGTCTAGCCACTCACTCCTGAAGTCACCCACACCATAGGCACTTTATTTACTTTGTTGTTACGTTCAGAAACCATCTATAAGAAGTGGACAATGAGGAAAACTACGCTTTAATTATGAATGGTTGGTTTGAATTGATAATTCATCAATAGAATATGATGTCCACTTTGTAAATTGTGATCTTGTTTAAAGGTAAATAGACAACTAGGTGCTATGAAACACTTTGTGTTTTGTGTTTCATAGCACCTAGATGTGGCCCACATCTGGTACAGATGCAGCTCACTGAGTGTGAATTGTTTTCACATTTTTGATGGACAAAAAGAAGTCACAAACATTGACTACATACTATTAATTCCAATGCACCATCTCTTGTTGTGCTTTATTGTCTATTTCCTCCTTAATGGAATTTTAACTAGCAAACTGACATTGTGTTGCCTCCGTTTGTAGCTAGAAGGCCACTTGTTATGTATGATCCCCTGTCACATCACATGTTTATATATTTAATTATTATACACACATATAAACATGTTTTTCCATAATTATTATTATACCACTGATGTCTAATGTGGTAAAAACACACACCAGAACAAAGTGGTTCATCTGTCTCATAAGACACAAACTTTTTTTTGTTTTTTATTTGGTGTTTGACTATACAATGTAGACAGATGGTAGAATGCATTGGTGCATTTTCTCCTTGAATGTTGTATGAGATTAACATTTAACAGCAATTATATATAAATATATGTCAGAACTGTAGCATCACATGGGATTTACCTTCTGTAATTATATGTGTTATGATATGTAATTATTTATACTTTTAGAAATAAGTAATTCCTACTGTTTATTTGCAGCCTTGCTTTGTAACAAAAAGAGGGGATGGGGGTACCATACTGTATAAAAAACAATAGTTTGTCTTTGTAATATAACGTATGTTAGGTGGTTGCAGGCAGATTAAGGTGGGAAGTTATTTTAGGGATTCTCTTTGTACGTTTGGATTTAGCACAGCACTGTAGCATGAATTCACAGCACTTTTCTGTTCACTATGTAATGCAGTATATGCTCCAGTGGTACATACAGTATGCATGGTGTACACACTTAGTCCGAGGTGGCGACTGCATCAGGGGACGTAGAGCTAGAAACTGTAACGTGTGTCTTTCTTGTTGCTCCTTCAGATCATACTGCACTCTACCTGTGCAGGCGATGTCACAGGAACATGCATCTACAATGTCTAAGTATTGTCAATAAAAATCTATAAAACACAAACATTTGACTCTGTCAGCTCATGTGAAGTGCATGTGTGTCTGTGCCTGTTTGAATTAGGGGTCAAAGTATGGGGGCGTGCAGCCTTAAGGGGCAGAGAGCCCCCTCACTGCCACACCTCCCCGACACAATTAAAATATTTTCTTTATTTGTGTGCTTGTGAGGAAATTGCAATTATTTGTAGATATTACAGTCCATTAATTAAGTTCAGGAAGACGTGAAGTGAGAGTGTGTTAGTCCTATTTACAATTCTGGGGGTTGCGGCAGGTTAAGTTTAGATCAGGGATTCCCAAAGTGTGCGGTTTGCACGAGATGCCACCAGGGGGTGCATGGGATTTAAAAAATGCTGTGGTGGTTTGGAGCGTTTTTTAAGTGGGATTTTTCAACACAGTGAGGACAATAAAGTTTTAAATAAAAAGCTGACATTTTAATTAATTTTAAAAATATAGGCTATGTTGGTGTTATATGTGTTCTGGTCATTTGAACATGATTAAACTTGCTGCCTTTACAAGAAAATTAGTTGCATTTTTTGTTGTGTTTTCAGGTCAAAATGTTAGAGAATTGTTGATATTTATTCCATATCGTTGGCGTTTTGATGCAGTATATTCATTAAATAACCTAGACTTGAAATGCAAGAAAACGTTTTTCTTTCTTCCTAATTAAAAAAAAAAACTGGCCCAACTGCACGCTAGTAGAATTTGTCATTAGTAAAGCACGTGAAGCTATCAGTTTACCACAGCTAAATACTTCGTTTTGTGTTAGTTTACATAAAGCCAAATAATAAACACTTTTTTTGCTAACTGACATAAAAGATAGCTGTCTGCATTCATGTTTAAATTCAGACTCGTTTTACAAAAGACGATGGTGAGTTGACGACTATGCTTGAGACCCTGTCCAGGTTGTTTATAAAGCAGCGCACAACAGATCCTAGCTCTTCTCTTCACGGATTGGCTCGTTTTCATCACGTTGCGTTCGAAGACATCTTGTAAATTGGGAAAACATACAAATATTACAAACAAATATTACAAATTACATTATGCTGGCATTTTTAACGATGAACAAATAATTTTAGAGACAATGTTGTGCATTTAATTTCAATACATTTTATTAAAAGAAGCACCGTTGTGTCTAAGCACGGCGATGACATCTTTTATTTTGACAGTCGAGATCCAATACCGGAAAACGCATTCTTAAACCAGTCCAAGGTCCTGAAACTAAAACGCGTTCGTATTGACTTTTGGACATTTTGAGAGGTGAAATCATTTATTTTCGCCATATTTGCAAACATATAATTTGTATGGGACATACTAGTTTATAAAATGTGCAGTTTAACTTAAAGATAGAGTTTTGCATCTGTGTCAAAGGTCATTGCAGTAAATATGACACTGTTGTGACATACTTTGTTACTACCGTACGTTATTATGAACCAGTGGTTATTGAAGAAATGTGATTTTCAGGTGGATTAGACTGTTATAGTACCGAGCTTCTAATTCGCTGGTAGAAAAGACGTTTGTGGAAAAGTAAAAGTGTTGTGCATTCACAGGTGATGTTGAGGAGTGTTTTCAGGTGCTTTCAGCAAAACTCTGTGGCTGGACAAAGGAATATGTCTCAGAGTAGCCTTTCTGGAAAGGTAGCCATAGTCACTGCCTCCACAGAAGGGTAAAAGTTGTTTGTTTTTTCCTTAATAATGATTTTAATTTAACATAAAGGTCCAGTATGAGTGAGTCACTCTTGTCCAAACCGTCAGAATTGGTCTGGCTGCAGCCCAGTCTCTGGGAAAGAGAGGAGCCCATGTTGTGGTGAGCAGCCGAAGACAGACCAATGTGGACAAAGCTGTGGCTCTGCTGCAGAGTCAGAACATCCAGGTGACAGGGACCACCTGTCATGTTGGGGTCAGAGAAGACAGAGAGAAACTGGTGCAAATGGTGAGTTTCTGGGCAAACATCAAGCTATTTCTTAGTGAACCTTTTGCTATGTAGTAGTCAGCCTGTTAGCTATTTCTTTCAACGTCTAAGCTATCTTTTTGAAAGGATGACTGAGTCGTCAGAAAACTTCTGGAGATGAATAAAATAATATATTGCAAGCCTAATATTTGCATAACATGAGCCAATTGCTCATGTTGGCTTTAGTTGTCCTCTAAATATTGTCTTTTGTCTTTTAAACTTTTAGAAAACTTTGAATGGAAAAAGAATAGAACCTTTACCAAGAGTTTCAATAACAAACCTATGTTTCAAGGTTGCTCCTTGTCTCTCAGGCTGACTCCTGTGTCTGTTATAATTTTTATCTTGTAATAATCCACTCATCTTATGTGTAACAGACTCTGGAGAAGTTAGGAGGAATAGACATCCTGGTGTCCAACGCTGCCGTCAACCCTTTCTTTGGGAACATATTGGAGTCAACAGAAGACGTTTGGGACAAGGTTGGCAGCTGGAATCAGGCCCCAAAAGTAATTACAAAACATTCAGAGAAATTAAACAGTGTTTTTTTCCTTCTTAAATCTCCCAGGTCCTCTCTGTTAATGTGAAGGCACCCTTCCTCCTGACCAAGCTGGTGGCTCCTCATATGGAGAATAGAGGGTGAGCAACAGAACCATGGATTAAAGTATGAACTGTCCATTACTGCTACTTCTATTCAGATTTTCTTTCAGAGGAGGAAATGTGGTCTTCGTGTCGTCCGTGGCAGGATACCAACCAATAACGGTGAGTGAGAAAGTTCAGGTCCAGACCATTGAATTTTAACCGGGTTAAACCAACCAGTCTTCATTCATACCAACTGACGGTATCAACGGTCACTTTATTAGGAACAACTGATGACCTCAGAAATTCCTGAATTATTGGCTCAGATCTTCTTTTGTTCTCCATTTTGATAGCCAGTGTGAACTTGAGCAGTTTGTCTTTCTCGTGTCCACATGTCTTCCTGCATTGACTAAGCAGATTAACCAGCATGCCAACAGATTAAACACTGTTAAAAACTGGTCACAACTGATTATTTTTTTCATCTCTGTTCTCTGCAGGGCCTGGGTCCATACAATGTCAGCAAGACTGCTCTGCTGGGTCTGACCCAGGCCCTGGCCCCTGAACTGGCCCAGAGCAACATTAGAGTCAACTGTGTGGCTCCTGGACTCATTAAGACAAGGTTTAGCTCTGAGGTAAGGACAACACACAATAGTGATTGCACTGACACTTGCCAACACCCTAGAACTTTTTTTCTGTCTGAGTATCTCAGTCATGTTCTGCTGGTTTGTTTCAGTTATGGAAAAATGAAGCCCTCATGGATCAATTCCAGAAGCAGCTCAGCATTAAAAGGTGAGTTGTCTCTTAGTTTGAGTTCTTCTGATGGATTTCTGAATAACTGATGAATCAACCGTTCATCTTCTTTGTTTCTCTTCGTTTCATCAGAATTGGAGAACCACAGGAAGTCGGTGAAGTGATCGCCTTCCTGTGCTCTGACCAGGCGTCCTACATCACTGGAGAAACCATCACCATCACTGGAGGAATGGGCTGTCGGCTCTGAGTCTTCAGCACCAACACAGCCAAAATAGAAATAAATATATGTAGACGATATATTGTTTGTTGATTACTTGATTACTACCATGATATTTGTCAAAGTCTGTGAGAAGACGTCGTTTTCAGCCAATTAAGCCTTGATTTTTATTAAAAAAATCCAACTTTACTTCTGTCACTTTCATCGGGTGTGTGGTTAGCCAGCTGTGTTGCAGTGGCTGCTCAGCTCTCCTTCCAGATTGCAGCTTGCTGTGGTTACATAACACTCCCATTGATTGTGATTCTTGAAGGTACTAGAAGAAAAATGTCCTGCACATTGATGAATTATTAAATACTTAATAAATAACATGGCTGTGTTACTAATAGAACCTAATGGACATTTTAAAATAAAGAAATCATCAAAATAGATACGGCAAATGTAAAACAAAACCTTATTCAAGCAAATTCAACTAATACATGGCAAAAAATGTGTCAGAAAGAACATAACAAATATAGTCAGAATACACCTTTAATACTTGAGGAGATGCTTAAAAAACAAAGTCTGTCAAAATAGTTACTGGGAAAATAAAATCTAAGGTTGAAAAAGGGGAGCCTCCACATGATCTCACAATAAACAATAAATCAAACCAAATAAATTGAGTTACCTCCCCTGCTGGCAGTCCATAAAATTACACGTCTGTTAGCTTATGAGTGAAGATACCAGAAAATGGTCAGATTATGACACGTTTTCCCTATCATTGATTCATGAAAATCAACAAAAATCCTTGATCTTTGTTCTTTTAGGTCAACTAAAATTCAGGGTGGAACCAAACAATTGTCCTCAGGAAACAAAAACATGGCATCAAACAATACAATCAATCCTTTGCAATGTACTTAATTAGCTATATGTTTCATTAAAAAGTACACTTAATAGATTCAGGTGTAACAAGTGCTAATTTAAAAAAAAGGAAACATGATTTCCAGCTGTGAAGAGATTAAAAGTCAACAACAAAGTGCAATCGCTAAGAAAGAGAGGAGTAAGTCTATCTTTATCTCAAAGTCACTCATCAGTGTTTACTTCTGACAGACAGCCGGTCCCGCCGCTGCATGGTTGGTTTCCAGTATTCCCTCAGAGTGGGAATGTAAGTTCCGTGTTTGGTTTTGTGGTAGCGCTTCATGAAGAGCTGATGGACACAGAGAAAAGACGAAAGACATTACGACTTCCTGCACTTAAATCATGAGGCCAAGGATGATGAGGGTGCCTGGTTAGGGTTGCAAGAAATGTAGCAGCAATACAGATTGGCCACCAGTGGGCGACTTAACTGTCTTCAAGAAAATCCAACCATTCCTAATTCTACCTTTTAGTCCTTTTCAGGGTCGTAAGAGTTGTTGGAGGAACCACCATTCACACTTACACTCGTTCAAAACTGTGGTCAATTCAAAAGAAATAGTTGAACTACTCTCCAACCTCTTGTTGTTGTACGGCCTCATCACCAACCGCTTCTGCCAGTTCCCTTCCCTTATAAATGTCAGGAAACATTATTGGAAAGATGGAAGCATCAGATTCTGGTCTTCTGTCTGAGTAAACAGTTCTTCTGCCATGTCTCCAGACAGGTCAAACTGGTTTCTGCCTGTTCTCACTCCCACAATGCTCAAGCAGATCTTCAGACCTGACCAGACCGTGTCTGTTTCTGTCCAAACTTATCACACCTTTCTGGCATCAGTGGTTCTTCCTACACATGACCTAGTAACCCCTGTCGTCCCACCACTCACCACTAAATTCTGTTTGATTTTCTGCTGTCTTCTGTCATCATTGACTTTGACATACCCGACACTTGAAGTTCTTGGTCGCCTCGTCCTCAGAATCAGCCACGTAGTCCTGGCCACTATCGTCACCAGAAAGCCTGAGTGTCCCTGAACATGACAGTGAACACTCCATAAAAACCCATCCACTTAAATATGAGACATATCCAGTAAACCTTTAACCTTAGGTGCAATCACCTGTGTGTGTCATCGGAGCTAGACAGCTGCTCATGCTGGACATTATGGGATTATTTCTGTCAAAAAAAAGTTTTTAGAAAAGCTTAAAAAACAAAAAGGAAAGTGACAAAAACCAACATCAAAAACATCTATCAAAAGTTATGGGCGAAATCTGAGCAACAAGTGCTGAATGTGAAGGGTTTAGCAGCCAATCAGAAACAGTCTATTAAGAAGAGGAGAATCAGACAATTCCATGCTTTGAGTTGAGCCAACTTTTCTTGAGATGGAGTTTAATTTAAAGCAGTGAAAAAAAGCTTTTTCATCAGAAAATCTCTTACTCCTTATCAACCGTGCCTGGACTGCTGCAGTCGGTGTTTTCCGTTTGGCTGCTTGTGTTTAGTTGTGTTGAAGGCTTGGATGATGAGGTGTTCCCCTGCTGTTCTGGACTTGAAGGTTCTGCTTTACTTCTGGTCCTGCACAAATAAGTAACTGGCAGTTTTCTGATTACAACTTTTGGCTGAAAAGACTTGTGCACCAAGTGGAGTAAGAGATTTTCTGGAGCATACACGGAGCAGGTTTGTGTTCCGTCATCATCACTCATATTTGTCACCTGACTTCTTGAGCTCTGCCTGACTTTTCGGAACAATCTTTTCCTTGATCGTGACACGTTCTGGTCATCTTTCTCTGCCTCCATTGACACATTCCGCAAAGTGTAAGAGTGCTTACGTTTCATTCCTCCACTTCTTCTGTAGATGTGGACCTCCTCCTCCTCCTCCTCCGTGCTAACTCCTGCACCTCCTTCCACTCTGTCATGTTTTTGTGTCTCTTCGTTCTCTTCTGCATGGTGAATTTTGGGAGAGATCTGCCCAGTAATTGGGGAAATGAACCTGCCTCTTGTTGGTGTGTGACTACAGGAGGCAGATGTTTTTCTTCCTGTTATTTGGTCTCCTGCTGTTTTTCCAGATGGAGACAGAGAAAGTGATTCCAGAATGCAGTCCCGCATGTTGGGAGGGAGAGCCGCTGTGCAAAGTCAACATAGTTGATCATTTCAGAGGATTAAACATTTACCCACATTTTCACTTTTGTACTGATGTAACAAAGAAAGTGTCTACGGCGTTTTCATGTGCACCTGCTGAGTCAAGGTGACCGAAGCGGGTTTCATGGCAGATGAGGATGCTCAGGAGCTGGGGCTGCCTGCCTGAGCAGGCACATTCCTCCAGGACAACAGGGATGTCAGTGAGCCATGACAATGTCTGAAAACAAATAAAATCTTTGGTTTTTTTGCACGAGCTTCTCTGCACAAATACAGGGTTCTGATACTTGTTCTGAAGTCAATTTCAAGGACTTCTAATACCAGATAAAAAACAAACAAAGACAAGTTGTAGCATCTATTGTCCAGTGACAAGCAGTAGGATACCTCATTTAAGCTGGGAACGGAAAGCAATCGATCCATTCGGCTCAAAAACTCCCAGAGCAGCTTCTCCAATTCCTTGTCAAACATTGGACCATAGTCTACGGGAAAATCCTCCTGTGAGAACACACGCACGCACGCACACAAACACAGCGTTTACAACAATGGCATTCAATCAAACCCCAGACTGAAACGTGGCCTGTGAGAACGCACCTTAAAAAACAGTTCTCTCTCTGTGTTGTCATTCAGCAGGGTGTGAACCAACAAATGAAAACTTTCCACTGTTTTGGCAATTTTTACATCATTCATCTAAAAAGAAAAAACATATAGAAATACTGCAGAGGCAACATTATAAGACGAGTCAAAGGTGCTTTAAAAACAAAGGTTACCACTCCAGCAGCTATAGATGAATGAGCAGTTGGGGCACGCATCCTTTGCAGGTGAGGTTCAATGACTTCTGCATCTGGTTGTGTGCGACACAGCTCCAGGATTAGCTGCAAAACAATGATAGGGTTGTTCAGAATTCCATAGTTAAGAACTGTGAGTCACTCAGAAATTCCTCTTCTCCTGCAGAGAATCACCCGTCCTCTCAGCCCCAATGTCAGTTTGCCCTGGTGCCTGAATGTGAGCATCCCAGGAACGGTCTCACATGCTGACGTCACAAACTTCTCCAGCACTCCATACTGCATCACATCCCTCTGCTTCATCACCTTCCACAGAGCAGCAGACAGCAGACGCACAAGAGGAGCCACTGTCTGGAGCTCAGTAACAGAGAGGTTCATGTCTGTGCAGGAGAAAAAAAAACACCAAAATCTGTTCAATCTCGATTTCCAATAACTGCATAAATACTTTTTTTTACAAATAAAAAAAATGTAATACCCTGTAAACGTATTAGATCTCCTTAATCAAATAACAAATAATGTTTTGGTGGTGGTAGTTTTTTTAAATACAGGCTATAATTTATTTCTACTAAATAATGGGGAATACAAATATTTAACCTGATAGCATCAAAACCGAGTTTTTATTGAAAAGCCATGTTTTTAAGCCTTTTTTGAAAGAAGTATCTCCTGGATTGTAGATCGTAGAACTAAAATGTTGCATTGCAATGTAATCTGATTCAGTTCAACTGTTTCGAAAAAACTTTTACTTAAATAGCTAAACACATAGAAAAGTGTCTTTGTTGTTGTTATTTTAAAAACAAAATCTTTCCAAAAACATTTTAATGTGGGGGGATACTGTCATTATTTCAGTCTAGTTAGCTTTAAAAACCGACTGTTGAAACAATTATTTTATTCATTTCGCGAAACAGACTGAAAAAATCTTAAATCATTTTCCAGATTTTCTTTGGAATTTCATTGCATTCATCCTTGTAAAAACATGATCCAGAAAAACTTACCAGGATGCATACATCTTCTTTCGCCCATTTTCAAAACAAACGAGGACTGGGATTATTTTAAATGAAAAGTCCTGGCTTTATAGCTTTTCGGTTAGCTTAGCTTCAGTTACTCTCTGAAAGGACTCAAAATTTATCGAAACCGGTTCACTGACGTATAACGATTTTTTTACGTAGAGCAGAAAATGGCTTAAACAACTCTAGCGCCCAGTGAAGGTGCATGCTTACCACTTAGTTTCAAGTTTGTAACTATTTACTCGAGCATAAAATACGAACATCGCGCCTAACGCCGTAAAAACTACTACTACTGGTTTCACTCCCGCCTTCACTGCAACTCATCAACTACTAACCCCGCGTATCCCGCCGTTCGGTGCTAAAGACACTAAACCAAACTACAGCAATTTAACCAAAATGCCCCGCCTGTGCAACACTTCCGAACACAAAAGCAAGCGCCTCCACAACGTTTTTTAAGGGTACAGATCTCACGCAGGACGTGACGCGAGGACGTCTCCAGTTTCCGCCACACATTACGTCAATTTGTAATTGTTTACAGGTTATAATGTAAATCTTTAAAACAATTATAAATTGAATCCAGAAATAATGCTATATTTTATTTCGTTCGTTCTTATAGTATAGTTCCCTATTATGAGATACTATCTCATAATAATGAATCTCTTTCCTAATGATTAGGATCTCAAAGTATCTCATTAGTTTTGACTTAAGAATCTATTTTTTCCCCCAAGTTTTTTGGGGAAATGGATTTCAAACATCTTTCTGAATATCTTTGTTATCCTTTATCCTATTTTGGTTTGTTGTATTGGCTTTGCACTACATTTGACTAATCTTAGGACATGTTTGGCTCATTCAAGCTACAGTATTTTGCAACCAACCCCATCACTGAAAATGCAGTAATTTAACAGCTTAAATGTAGTACTTGTTGAACTGCAGTACTTTATAGACAGTTATCTTGCAAGTTTTTTAGTATTTAATCTGTTGGGCTAAATATGTTAGCTATATCAGCGCTACTTACAAACTGTTTTGACGTGACCTTCTAATCTTACGCTTTTCAACTTGAACCTTTCATAAGTTGTTTTTGTCTAGCTTTTATCTAATCTAAATCAAAACACACCTAAGATGATGTGTGTTACAAAAGTCAACTCAAAATGTCTTGCTGCTGTGAAAAAAGTGACAATTTGACAGGAATTTTAAGTGCAGTTTCAAATAATTCTGGGGAATTTCATCAGCTAATGTCTGAACAAAGGTAGCAGTTGTAACAAATCTAAAAAAAAGGAGTAAATGTACAAACATACAGACTGGTCTGATGAACTTTGACCCATGCTGTTCTGAATCTGACTAATCACCATGTTTGGAGTAAAGTCCAGCGCTTGGTTCAAAGACAAGAAGAAAATATCAATGCAGTGAGGATCGACAGAAAGAGACTCAGGAAAATGGACAGCACATTTTTAAAGTGAGTAAAAATTGTTTTTGGGCCATTAGTGATTGTAATGACATTTTCAGTGAGACCACTGAGGAAAACTGAAGATACAAGGCACAAGTTGTGATTCATAGTGAAGTCACAGTAAAACCAAGTCACTGTTTAACCTTACTTTTTTGTTATTCTGTTCCCAGATCAGTAACAAAGCGAGTGTGGTCACCAACACAGCGGCCTTTCAGGGTGTGTTGTCACAAAAGAGAGACCAGGAAAGGCATCACGGCTGGGACCCTGGAGGAGCTGAAAGAGAGGGTGAAGAAACCTGGGCATCTATTATGAAAGTAATCATTAATGGGCTGTTGAGAAAATTTCAAAAAATGGCTTTCCATTTTTATAAAAAAATAGACAAAACAGCATATTTTATATTAGATTATATTTGTCTAATGGAGCGTCATGCACAAGAAACAAAATACCATTTGCTTGTGTACATTTGTGAAATACATTTACCTTTTTATGGAATTGTTTTATGGAAAAGTTTTAGCTAACGTTTACATTTTGAAACATTTTGCTATTGTTTTGACTTTTGATTTTTTTTTTGGCCTAATGTAAATTATCTTAATTATTTAATTGTTTTTATTTTTACTGGGATAACTTGAAATATCTAACTTTTTAAAGATGTATTTTAATATATTATTTTCTCACTTATTTCCATGTTTGTTTGTTTTTTGTTAGATATGTTTTAAAGTATTTTTAGTAGACAAACAAAAAGTTTTTATTTCATTTTGTGTGTTGGTTAAAAGCTGCCTTTATTCCGAAACTTTTTTGATTGAATTTTACGATTTTGAAAAGCAGAATTATTTTTATGTTTAGTAACATGCTTTACTTGTAGTCATTCGGGTTTTGATGCACATGCGCTCTGGTTCTGAGGCTATAGGTGTGCCAGGCGTTGCTGTTGTCCTTCTCAGCTGTGTCTCTGTCTCTGGTCTGCGAGGAGGACGGAACAGAGGTAGAATCTGACGAGTTCCTCATGACGCTGCCTGATAACACCATGCTTATGGCTCTGGAGCCTGGACATACCTGGAGGTCACCCACGGTAAGTTTGGAAAAACCCTTACACCAGGGCGTGTCCAAAGTCCAGTCCAGGGGTCAATTGCGACCTGTGGATACATTCTTTACAGCCTACTTCCTCTGTCATAAAATACATTAATTGTGGCCTCCTAGTATTGTACCCAGAGTATAAAGGCACATGTTTTAGCCCTCATTCAGACATAAAAGGCAAAATGATTTTGGTAATAAAAGTTCCATAAAATAGTTGATTTGAATTTAACTTTGATGGTTCAAAGAATGACAGACAGAATGGTTGGCCCCCACACATGTTCCTTCATCAAATATGGCCCTTTCTGAAAAAGGTTTGCATACCCCTGCTATAAACAGATTGTTCTTTCACTGCACACATTTTACTCTTGTTTCCGATCCTCTCAGGGTGCAGTCGTGGCTAAATCCAAAGATCTCAACAAGTCTCGGAATGGTAAAGACATAGCTCAAGTCACTTTTGACCTCTACAAAACCAGTCCGAGGGATCTTTTTGGCTCCCTGAGTGTGAAAGCCACATTTCAGGGCCTGTATTCTGTGAGCGCTGACTTCCAGTGTCTGGGGCCAAAAAAAGTTCTCAGGTGAGAGAGAATGGAGGAAGGTCACTACGGTGACTAGGGCTTCTGTACATGGTCTTTTTTTTTGTACAAAATTACTTTGGAATAAATGTGAATGTTCATGTACTTTTGAACAAAAGAGATGATTAAATACTATAGGAAATTACTTGGTTGACTCATGAGCAGTCACTAGAATTCTACACTAGACTGGATGGTGAGGCTCAGACCACGATAAACTCTAACTTCTGGGGAGACTCCTCCAAGAAAAGGTGTTTATATCTGGAGGCACAGAACCACAAGAGTACTTTTATTTAGTGAAAAATTATTGTATTTCTCAGGTGTATATGAACGTTTTCCAAACCTGGATCCTGATAATAACCTTGTTGTTTCAGAGAAGCTCTGCGTGTCGTCTCCGCCCTCCTTCAAACTGCCGGACATCTGCTTATCACCTCTGCTTCCATGATTCGCCGCATTATTGCAGGTGCTGAGCTTTGGGAGCCAGAGGGAAGAGTACACCACTAGATGGAACTGATGGAGCCACCACAGACCCCTGTGTAACATCAACTAATCCAAAGTCATATGTAATGATTCCAGGTCATCACCGACCATCCCAAGTAACAACAGACAGCATGTACGTAGCAAGAGAAATATGACAAATGCTTATTTTGATACAACATGATTCACAGAAATCTGCTGTAATCGTGTCAAACTGAAGGCTGATGTTCCACTGGTTTTGAGAAGTCTTTATATATTGAAAGTTTCACATCAGATCTAACAATGCGAACATTTTGAAACTTACCATTACAGGTCACTGAGAGTGATGTGAGGCTGTAAAGAGGGATTTACACTCTCACATCAATTTACCACTGAAAAACGACTGACACCACTGACTGACAGCAGAAATGTATGGGAGACATGTTTGGTGACTCTATAAATGAAGTTGACATATCTTGTATATGGTCTATTTTCTTTTTAAATGGTAACAAGTTACTGTAACTTTAATTTGTAACATGGACTGATTATGTTCATATACATTTACATATACAGTGGTATTTACTGATTAAGTTATTGATTGACGGATGACGGATGATTTAAGTTCAATGAAATAAATAAAACTCACACGATTAAATGTGTTTATTTTCTTAAGCTTTTATAAAAATGCCACGTCTACAGATTAGGAAGAACATTTCCAAAGAACTATCAATGCAAATTAAATCAGGAATGGAGGGGAACACAAATATGGAGCAAATGAACTATTATATGTAAATAATTTAAAGCAAAAGAAAACTGAAAAACTGAGGGCTTGGACATAAAAAGGGAGGTGGTGGCTCAGTGGTTCAGGAAGTGGACTTGGGTCCAGAAGGTTTCAGGTTCTAGTCCCCCAGCTGTCAAGTTCCCACTGAGGTGCTCTGTCATGGCTCCGTCTCCACTCACTGCTCCCTGGTTCTTAAAGCTGCCACTGTTCACTGTGGCGATGGGTTAAAAACAGAGGTCACATCTGGTTGTGTGCAGTGGTGAGCTGTGTCACACTGACAGGGAGTTCACTCTTCATTGTTTATTCTCAGTAGTCAGGAAACGAAACCTATCAGAACGTTTACATGACTCCACCCTCCTGACTATTAAAACTGGTGACATTCATGAAGTAGAAACTGTTGCGCAGTTTGCACACAGAAGACGGTGGCATCAAGGAACATTGTTCAAACTTGATTTCTACTCCAGGATCAGCAAGAATCATGTCTGACAATCTCCAAGTGGATGTTCAGCACGTAATCCTCTGTGACATGTGTCCAGAGGAGGACAGGAAACCAGCCAGGAAGACCTGCATGAAGTGTGAGATCTCCATGTGTGCCCCTCACCTGCAGGTCCACCTGACCACACCTGTGTTACTGCAGACTCATCCTTTGACTGAACCTATGGCTTTGTGTGGCTCCACCAAATGCCCTCTTCATGGCAAGCTCCTGGAGTACTACTGCCTGGACGATATGACCACCGTTTGTGTTTCCTGTGCCATTGAAGACCAGCACCGCCTGCACAACATGAAGACCTTCTCCACCGCCCACAAGGAGCTCCTGGAAAAGCTCAAAGATAAGCAGCAGGCCCTGTTGGTGAAGATGAGTGACGAGAGCGATGACAGTGATGAGAATATGAGCCTGGAAATGTGGGAGAAGAATGAACGAGAGAAGCTGAGCGGTCGTTGCGTGCGTCTCATTGAAGCCCTGACCAACCTTCGGGACATTTCTCTGAACAGTGTCCAAAGTTCTGTCTCGGCTCGTATGGTGGCACTAAAAACCAGCCGGAACAGCATGCAGGCGGCACAGAACGAGACGGACACCTTCCGCTTCTTGCAGATGTACTCCCAGGTGCATCAGGACATGGAAAAGGCCAAGGCTGTGGATCTGACGAGAGGCCTGGAGCCTGGCAGCGCTCGAGATAAGCTCGTCCATGAAATCATTGAGAAAGGTGAAGAAATAAGAGATCAGGCAGACCTTCTCTGGGAATCCTTGTTGACAATGGTTGATCCTGACCAGGTGTTTTTCATCTCTAGTCCAGACCTGATCTTTGAGCCCCATTGTTTTGACCAATGCATGTCACTCTCTGAAGACAAGAGGAAGGTTTTCTTCAACACTTGGTTGGGTCAGTGCTCTGCTACCCTTGCGATCCGCAGTACAGGAATAGTTCCTAACTTTCAGAGGTGGATGGTCAGTATCTCCAAAGAGATAAATTGGACCATCGGCCTCTGTGCCACACAGTCTCTGAATTACTGGAGGAACGGACCTGTATTTGGGTTGTCCTGCAAGAACAACCAGCTCAGCTCTCTGGTAACAGTGTTTAATGCTAATGCCCAAAACACTGGCTCCAGTCCTCACTCTGTGGTTTCATCTGAGCTAACTGACACCCAGGGACAGGGTAATGATCAAGATGTACCAGCAGAAGAAGTGGTTGAAGTGTTTTTGGATGTTGATGTTCCTTCACTGTCCTTTTTTAGAAGAACTGGTAAGTACCAGAGGGAAGAGCTAACCACAATCCGGGAGAACGTGGACAAATCAGATCTGGTTCCCTTTGTTCACCTTGAGATGAATGTCCAAAACAAAAAATATCCAAGTGTTTCACAGAAAAGCGTGTCATATACTGGCTATAGTACATCAACACCAAGTAACAATCGAATTTCTGAAGTGGTTTGTGGACTGGAATAATTCACGGGAGCTGATTTACTGCTGCCCCGTCCCAGTATGGAAAAGATTTACTTGATTTACGTTGTGGAGACATCACTGACTGGTGAAAATATTCTGCTAACAATGAAAATATTAGCATGAAGCACATGGTAGCCCACGTCTTGGTTCTATGTTGATTTTCCTATGGGGATTTAATCCAAGTACATGTTTTTTTTCTTAAACGCTGGTGTTTAGACCGATATCTGTCAGCTTTACTGTTTGTCTTCATCTACTGGTCACAAATTGTACTGATAAAATCTATACAATATAAATGTAAACGATCATTCTTAATAAAGATTAAAAACAAATAACTCAACAGTTTCCACTGGTCTTTGAAATTATTATTATAGAGGACTCACTTTTACAGTTGAACTCACAGCTGCATTTTATAAACAATATTGGTAATGGTAATAAAACTCTGCTCTTGATGTAAAATCTACATTTAGGAAAAACTGTAGCCTTTTACACCAGACATTACAATAATACAACTAAATCCATTTCAAGTCCAGTTAGTCTGCAGTGTTAGATAAAGTGAACAGACAGGTTAGACACTGTATTTAATGTTGCTGTGTTCCTGTGTTTGTTCAGTTGACAGTCTGCCAACACATTGACTCCATGTCACAACTGGTCCAGACTAGTTACAGCAGCAGCGGAAACGTTTGATTTTCATTATATATTTTTTTTATAACTTCAATAAAATCCACATGTTAAATGTAGGTTAAGATGAAGATTTTAAAATATCAGTTTCAAATGTGGAATGGTTTTATTGACAAGGAGGAAACTGATTACAGATCATTGTTTCTCATCTTTGGAAGGGTATAACAAACACAAACGTTCCCAGGGTAATAATCCAAAGAGTACCACATCTGTTAACAATGTTCTGTTAATAACCATGATAATTAGCAAAAACTGAAAAAAAATTTAAAAAAATTATATATTATAACTGTTGGTCCTGAATACAACATGGTAACATGTCAACAATGGAAATGAATGTTTAAATCTCAGATCAATAAAGTGCAGGGAATGTTGGAGCGAGATATTCAATTTTAAAAAGTACATTAAAACATTTCTGTAATTTAATGCGAGTACAAAATAAAAGTGGAAAAATTGAATTTGCCATTTTCCTGAGGAGACAATGAATCTTGGCTAAAACTTTGAGGAAATGTTTGAAAAGGAGGTAAAAACATTCAGTGTTTAGGTGTGTATGTGTGTGTATGTGTGTGTGAAGGAAGTGGTTTAGAGAGGGGACCTGACATTTTCTAACTGCCACTTCCAAAGACAGTGTTGAGCTGCTGTGTGACCCTGATGAAAGTGGTCCTGCGGCTCAGCTCCTTCAGCTTGGCTGCGCCCACGTAGGTGCAGGTGGAGCGAACACCACCCAGGATGTCTCGTATCGTCTCGTCCACGGGGCCTTTGTAAAGAACCTCCACAGTTTTTCCTTCTGAAGCTCTGGAAGGAAAAACAAAAATCAAACATCAAATAAAAGTCTTTTTAGGAGAATTGTAACACATTTTTAACTAACCACTCCTTGCCAAAAAAAATCCCCTTTTCTTTTAACCTGTAGCTATATTTTTGCATAATTATAACGAAAACCTTTTTTGTCTAATAATGTATTGTTATAATTATGGGCAGATTTATGCCATTTTGTTAACATTCAACTTTATTTTGCATAGTTTTGTTAGCATTAGTAGCCTATTTTGCCTATCCTTTTTAGCTGTTTTCAGCACTTTTTGGCTAACCTTTGGCTAAATTTCACAACGTAGCCAACTTTGGCTGGTCAGATTGCAAAATGTTAGCGACATTAGCCTATTTTGCCTAATCCAAGAATGCTGACACGCATTGACAGTGACCCTGACCTGTACTCAGCCACACCACCCGCATGTTTCTTCATGGCTGTGTCAGAGCTCATGCCGTAGAACAGCTTGTACTTTGTGCCGTTTTTCTCAATGATTTCGCCGCCACTCTCAGAGTGGCCTGCCAGCATTCCACCCAGCATCACAAAATCTGCTCCAGCACCTGAAAATAACACATGAAGAAGAAGCACGTCAAACACATGCCACCAGGATGTTCTTGATGCTTTTTTGTTTGGGCTTTTGTTTGTTATAGGACTTGCCAAATGCTTTAGAGACGTCTCCAGGGCAAGTACAGCCTCCATCCTGTTTGTGAGAGCAGATGAAGAAAGACAGAACAGAAATTTACATCTGCTCCAGAAGAGCTGTCTCACTCAATTGATAAAATACTTCTTTGCCGTTTTAAACCATGAGCTGGTGAAAACTGAATCCAACAGTAATGTCTGAGCTTAGCATAGCACGAAGAAAAAAAATTGATAAACACAACAAAAATATAAAAAATGACCCCTGTTTTGGGTCAGCCATAAAGCACCAACACTGCCTTCCACTTTCATGATGCAAACCTGGGCTAAAGGTCAGTCAGAGTTTCTTACAGAGATAATGTGCCCACCCAGGCCATGGGCTGCATCTGCACACTCTATCACGGCACTAAGCTGGGGGTAACCCACCCCGGTTTTCTTACGGGTGGTGCACACAGATCCTGCGGAGGAAGACAACAAGAAAACAGGAAGCTGAGAAGTTAGTGTTCAGTTTGATCTGACTGGAAACAAATAAATCCACATAGTTCTGCTCAAAATCTGAATCAACAAATGACAGAAGTTTTTGTCTTATTTGTTTTGGGGTATTCTGCTGCCTGCTATATTGGACATTTATGGACATAATGAAGACGAGTGAATAGTCATGGCAATCATCAATGTAACATAAGGAATTTCAAATCTCACCTGGTCCGATGCCTACTTTGATGATGTCAGCACCGGCCAAGATGAGCTCCTCTACCATCTCTCCTGTCACCACATTTCCCGCCTGAGACAAAAACAATATATATATAAAAAATAATGAAACCATTTCATCCACTGTTTGTCCATAAAATGTGTTCAACATGTCCTCACCATGATGGTGTGTGAAGGGAACTTCTGCCTGACGTCTTTGACAAAGTTGACAAAATGTTCTGAGTAGCCATTGGCCACGTCCACGCAGATGTACTTGAGCTGAGGCACCGCCGCCAAGATGGCCGACATCTTCTCAAAGTCACCGTTGCCTGTCCCTGTGCTGACCGCCAGACTCTGACAGGTGAAGGAGGGACACAGTGAGTGAATAGCGCCATCAACAGGATCATTCGTTATCCTTGTAAATGCATTTGAACTAACAGCTTTCTTACCTCAAGGCATTCTGGGTGTTTTGCTGCGAACTCTGACCAGTCGTCCACACAATAATGCTTGTGAATTGTTGTGAAAACAGTGAACTAGGAGGTGGACAAAGAAGAACTTAAAGATAAATGCTACTGTTATTTTAAATCTTAACAAAGAATAGGGAATTAAAATTCTGCACTTATTGACCACGACTGAGCTTCACACTTTTATTTATATTACATGTAGATGCACTAATGTTCAGGAAATATATGATTGATAGTGCCATGCGAAACTGACCTTGTGAAGAGCCAAGGCCATGTCAAAGGTCCCGACAGTGTCCATGTTGGCAGCGATGATCGGGATCCCAGTGTAGCTGCCTTTAGAGTTTCTGAAGGTAAAGCTCCTCTGCAGGTCCACCTGAAACAGACAGGACTTTCAAACTAAAAGCCTCATGAACAAAACAAGTTTTTTTTCTACTTTGTTATCTTGCCTCTCAGTGAAAAACTGAAGATAGAACAGAAAACCTATAGAGTGCGGAAATAACATCACGAAGCAGCTTGTACTTCCATTGACAAATATCTGGTTGTTAAAATACAAACTTTTTACTTCTTTAGACAGTTAAAATCTACCAATGCCCATTTGTGATGTCTGATGGGTAACTTAAGATCCAGGAACAAAAGTGAATGGTACACAGACCTCACTGCGAGACTTCAGTGTGCTTCTTTTTGGCCTCAAGAGCACGTCTTTGAAATCCAGCTTAATGTCGTTCTCAATTCGAGGCATTTTGTGAAGCAGGGACTAGTGAAGCCAAAATAAATGTCTGATAAAAGATTTGTCCTGGTTTGGATCTGTGGAGAAAAAGAGAAAGTTACAACGTTTTAAAGGTTGTCTTGTCTAAATTCTGTACCTTTTTTCTCACTCAGTGAGTGTAAGGCTGAAGTTCAGAGTGTTAAACTGTGACTTCCTGCTTTCTAATTTTTCTTATTATATATAAATAAATATATGTATGTATGTATTTGTTACAGCCTTGTCTGTCTTCAACAAGTCTGACAGAGAAAATACAAAACAAATGTTGAGCCATTATCTTGATTCCCAGGTTAGTACCAAATAACTTGTTCACTCAGGAACTGTCAGGATGGTCAAGCTTATTAAAAATATCAATTGTTTTTTTTATAACTATTTAATCTCATACCATACCAATGGTACCATATGGTAATATATATGAATTATAGGTCACCACAGCAGTAATTACTACGCTGTAAACACGTAACAACGCCGCATTAGACACACGCTAGAGACACGTTATTACTGTTGTTATTCACAGGAAAATCATTTTAGCCAAAGACTGAGTCACTGTCTTCTGAACCAAAGTCAAAAAGGTTACGACATTAGCAAAAACGTAGTGATTAACAAAGAACAAAGATGGTAGAGCATTTGTGTGAAATGAAACGACCAGTGATTTGACACTTCTTCATTTCGAACATTATTATTATTATTATTATTACCTTTATAAAACAAAGGTAGTCTGCTTTTCCTGTCCCCTTTCTTCCTCTCCTTACTGCTTACGCGGGAAGCTTTAAAAGGGCGTACACCAACTGACAGCCGGCGCGTCGGCTACATCTACTTCCGCTCTCTCTCTCGCGGGCACGATGACGCAGGAAGAAAAGAAATAAATTACAATTTTGAGACATTGTGCTGCATCCATTAATCTTTATATTGTTTAAGGTACATGGCATTTTGAGTTTATACTTTAAACTAATTCATATTGATCATACCTCGAGTAAAGACTGAAATCATAGCGGAACCATTATCGAACGATGAGAGGGACTGGTGACTTTGACGGACAATCACAGGAAACACAACTGAGTTACTTTTGGAAAGAAATCTTCTTGAATAATACGTATTTAGCAGTTAAAATACTTAAGTTACTTTTGTATAAACAAGACAATAACGATGCTCATTAAAGTAAAGGTAAGGCGTTTAAAATAAACAATTATCTTTTTACGTGTTGTCCTGGATCTTTTAAATTTTAAATTAAATGTATTTTGTCTCACAGACCCTCACAGGAAAAGAGATAGAGATAGACATAGAGCCCACTGATAAGGTTTATGATTTTTAAAAAATTTAATCTCATGTTAATGTGTCGAAAGATTTATCTCCATTTTATTTGTTAACCATTCAGGTGGAGCGGATCAAAGAGAGGGTTGAGGAGAAGGAAGGGATTCCTCCACAGCAGCAGAGACTTATCTACAGCGGAAAGCAAATGTAGGATTACAACACCATTAATGTATTCATCGAAACATAGCTTACTCATTTCTATATAAATATTTATGGTGTGTGTTTTTAAAAAAGCAAAAAAACTATAGCAATGTGTAATTCTGTAGCTAAAGGCTGTCTGTAAACTAGTTACCAATATAATATAAAGTAATGTGTTTTTTAGGATCACAGCACCACTGGTATTCTTTGAAATACACCTGTCTTAGGTTACTGTTTTCTTGCTTTAATCAGGGCAATAAATCTTTTGGCACTTATCTGACATGATTTTTTTAAAGGGGAACATATGACCCGTGTACAACTATATTTTGACAGTACAACTGTATTTGGATCTGGAATTTTTTTCTTTTTCAGGAATGATGAGAAAACAGCAGCAGACTATAAAATCCAAGGAGGGTCTGTTCTCCATTTGGTTCTCGCCCTGCGTGGAGGAAGCCTCTGCTCTTTGTAGTCGTCACTTCATAATTTTGCAGCACCTGCACTGACAACTATATATTTGACGAGTCACTGAGGGGTGCTGGCAGACAGTCAAATCAACCTCTTCCACTTTGACAAAAAATGTGTCTGCTGCAAACTTCTCAGCTGGGATCACAGAGAGACTCTTAGTGTTAAAAGCTGAAGAGAAGTAAACCTCTTTAAAATATAGGCTGTTTGCTGCTATAGAAGTTTGAATGAAAGTGTCTTCTTTCTTCTGTGTTTTTACAGAACAGAAGCATCAAGTTGAACATTAACTCAAACCATTCCCAACAAATTCTGCAAGAATTAGAGGTTTTTCTGTCCCTGCTGTTGAAGTTGTAAACAGACAGTTTGTGTCACTGTTGAAGGCATTAATTTGTCATTCATCAAGAGTTTGTATCTAACAAATGGATCTAAGCTGATCAGTGAAAACACTAAACATCCTTTTCTTTGTTGTTAAACAAATTCTCAAAATATGACAATAATGTACAACTTTTAGTTGTTTTTTAGTTGTGTCACTTTTCTTGCAATTACAAATAAAGTCGTTTAATTTTTTTTATTTGCAATTAAGACAAAAACACAGACAATCATGAGAACTGCACACTGTATTTACACAACAACCGTACAGGCACAAAAACTCACACACTCACTGTACTAAAGTAGATCAGAAAAACCCTGTTTCCCCTCAGAGTTGGAGAGGAGAAACTTTTACAGTGTGACAGTTAGGCTACGTCCACATGTGACGCCCTCTCTGACCTTATATGAAGGATAAGCAGAAAGAATTAGCACCAGTTTGTTGGAGTGTCAAAGGTAGTCAAGATTAAGTGATTTCTTTTATTGGCAGTGTGTGTGTGTTTAAGTTGAAGGCAGCAGCTACGCCCTGAGACACAACAGTTTATACACAGAACAACTGGCATGGTTAATTACATAGTGTGTGTTTTTTTCTTGTGTGTTGATACAGTAATACACAGATTAAGTACAGACATACAGTACAACAAGCACATAATGGAGTATGTTTATACAGAGGTGCAGGTATTTTCCTTTGTCGCTGGTGCCTGTGCTTTCATTGCACAACAAAGTAATTTCTAGTGAATCATTGAATTAAAAAAATATTTTCTCTTTACGCTCGGCTGCGTTTTTAGACCCTATTTTTCTATACAAGGAGCAGTCAGTCACATGTCTATGGGGAATTGCACATTTATGCCAAGGTGTGAAAAGTAATCTGTTTATCTGATTTTTAGGATGTTTAGAAGAGATGTTGATAAAAATAGGTAAAATGGCCAAATAAAAAAATACTAATTTATGTCAATATTTACCTGATATTTTGAATATGTTATTTTAAAATGTTTTTACATATTCTTGCCTTTAAATCTGCTGTCAAATTAAATGCTCAAAACACAGGTATAATTGTAAAATATAAAAATCTGTAGGTAGCAGTAACATATCTTAAAGTCTAGTAATCCTTGCCTGTCAGGGAAGTTTTTCTTGTTTTAACCTCATACACGTAAAGCCAAATTTTGTTCATTCTGTAATGTCATGTCCAACAAAACCAGACACTAAATGTTTTGGTCCTTGGATCCTAATTATTGGTTTATTTTACCTCAGATAAAACTTCAGAATCTATGTTGTTTTTTGTTTTGTTTTGTTTTTTTATAAAATAACAATAATTATGTTTCTACATGTTAGTGTACAATAATTGTAATGGCACCACATTCAGAATTTACCTAAATTAAGGCAGAACAGCATCATACACACACCACACATCAACTTCTGGTTGATACCGCTGCAGGTTTAAGACTTAGAATAGGCCCATATCTATATAATGTTCAACAAAAAATATATAAAATACAATTAGCATATTTAAACTAAAATCGTGACAAAAGAAATCATAAAACAATGATCACAACTACCAAAAAAAAAAAAAAAGAAAAGAAAAAAAAACATACGGGAATCACAGTCATCTTAAAAAATAAAATTACAAATGTAGAAAATGAAATGATTTGATCTGAGTTTTGAAAATGTAAATGTAGCTTTGGTAAAGAAATAAAATAATCTTTTAGAGAAATGTAAAGTATATCCATAATTATGATGGAAAGCTACGTTTTTTAATAATAAAAGACAGAAGAAACTATTAAAATGTGTCTTTTACAGTAGAAGTGAGCCTTTAGCGTGTTAGCGATGGTGAACATAAGACAAGAACTGAGTGTGTCATTAGCATGTGGGTTACATTAAGTACAAGCTAGGCTAATTACAGATGCTAACCTTTTCTTTTTGTGCACACATTTTGAGTTTTCACCATTTCTGACTATATTTGGTAAAAACACATTTGGTAATACAAAACCTAAGTCAAATGAAGTATTCTGTTGGCGAGGTGTGATTGTTGAGAGGCACACTGTGTCTTCTTCTGTCACGTTGGCATGTAGCCTGTTAGCATGCTCCTGTGTGAACACCAACACTTAGGATGATAGCACGTTGAAAACCTTTAACTTTTAACACTCTGCTGACTTGTGGGTGTCTTCTTCTGTCTGAGACAGAGGAGACATCACCTCCTTCATTTCCTCGCCTTCTTCCCTGCTTCCATTTCCGTTGCTGCTGTCGCTACTACTGCCGCCTACAGCCGGATAAACAACCACACAGAACTTCTGGCCCAAATATGTCATTTTGTCTGCAAAAAATGAAACAACAAAATGAAATGCTAAAATTAGCTAAAGGTTAGCCCAAACAAAGATAACAGTCATTACAAAATTAGGTTCATACTGACAAAAGATACAGCAAACATAGCCAAAGCGCAGAAGAAAAACCCAATTGTTTTGCTTCGTAATACCGCATTAAAAATAGATTTGATGTAATTGTACAATATTTCATCATCTAGTCATCATAGTGTGAAATATGAGCTTACCAACAAAGGCGTTAAAGCACTGGGGTTTGTTGTCCCAGTAAACTCCCAGGAAATAAACAGGGACCCCAGTCAGCATGATGGCCAGGCCAATACCACACACCACGGGCTCAGAGTACAGAGAGAAGATGAGGAGGAAGGCCCAGAAGAGGAGGTAAATAATTGGCCAAATGAGACTGATCTGCAGGGGGCAGCAGAGACACACAGGTGTAAACAAGTTTTTTTCTATTTTGTATCAATTAAAGTACTATATTTTTCCACATATAATATAATATAATATAATATAATATAATATAATAGTTAGCTAAACAATGGCTAAATGTTGGTTCAAGAATACCCTGCACTGAGACAAATAATAAAACTGCTAAAACAAAAACAAAAAAAAAAACTATTTTTTTAAAACCGCAGCAGCTGAAAAAAAAACAGGTAAATAGAAGTCAGTATTAGATGTAATTGCCTATTTGTAGCTAAAAACTAACTCCATCTATTTTCTACAGCCTAGTCCTTTGAAGGGTTGCAGGGGGTGCTAGAGCCAATCCCAGCTGTTTTAAATACAGTTCAAAACTATAGCAGAAATAGGGGTAAAAAAATTATGAACATACTTTGATTGGTCGATGCATGTCGGGCTGTTTGAATCGCAACACGATCTGCCCGGCGACAGTGACGCCATAGAAGAGGTAGTTGATAAACCCGACGTAGTTGATGAGAGTGTACATGTCACTGGTGCAGAGCATGAGCAGCGTGGAGAGACACTGGAGGAGGAACGGGAGTGGGAGTTTTTGTGTGTCCAAGTTTTGTTAGAAATCACTGAGATTGTGTTCAGAGAAGCATGTGCAAGAGAACTCACAGTGAAGAGCAGAGCTGGGATGGGAGTGCAACGTTTGACATGAATCATGGCCAGAAGGCTGGGCAGGTGACCTTCTCTGGCTCCAGCAAAGAACAGTCTGGAAAAGACAGAGTTGTGAACTTTTTTGTGAAATTTTAACCATCAACTATTAAGGTTCATACACTGAAGAATAACCCTCACCTTGAGGAGGTAAAGAGGGAACCGTTGACTCCTCCAAAGGTGGAGAGGGCCACAGAAATGGGCATGATCCACGCCATGACTCCCAGCAGCTTCTCACCAAATGTCTGGGAAAGAGCAAAAGAAGGTGGAGGGAGGAGGGAGGAGGATGGAAGAGTGAAGAATGAAAGGAGGATGGTTGGTGGATACAGGGATTACAGTCCAACAAAGTTGGATGAGGGTTCGTGGACGGAAGGATGAAGGTTGGAGTAATTGAAAGATGGATGTCAGACAGAAGGTAAGAGAAGAAGAAAGGAGTGAGGAAACACAAATGTCTTTGGTCAGTCTTAGATCATCACCACAGCCTGTGAACATTCATCTGATTACAACTTTAACCTGCAGTGACGAACAAGCACCACTAGAGGGCGTAGAGACACTTTCACTTTGATTCAGCTACTCACCACAGCTACAGCATTTGAAGCCAGCAGCTCCTGAGGACTCATGGCTGTGACGTAGGCGATGTTGGCAAAGACGTAGACGAAGGTGACAAGAGGGATGGAGATAAAAATGGCACGGGGCAGATTCCTGCAGAGAGAGTTGAAAAAAAAAATCATTTGTAAATGACTAAAATGTAGAGAAAAGTGAATGAGATTTCCTAAGCTGCACAGGAGATGGGCAGGTGTCTTACACATAAGGGTCCACCAACTCCTCTGTCACGTAGTTGAGGAAGTTCCAACCTCCATAGGCGAAGGAACCTTGTAGAAAAGCTAAAGCAATCAAACCCACGTCGTAGTCCTGGAAAGGCTCGAAGGCATTGGCTGGCTCCAACCAGTAGTATTCTCCTGCAGGTGGAGAGGGTGATGATGCATGAAGACAACAAAAAAATGTAAGGCTAATTTTGTATTTGGTTGATGTTAGCTAAGAAGATTAAGGACGAACAAAAACTAAAGTCTACAGGTTAGATTATATACAGGCAAATCCTGGCCAAACATATAGCTAATGGTAGCTGTGAGGTAGCAAAAAAATCTAAAGGTTAGTGTTTAATCAATTTAATTGGATCAAAAAAGAGAACTCAATAGTGAGCAGGCTGTCCAAACTCTTCAAACATTCAACAACGTTTGTTATTCCAGGTATACAGGTTTCATGCAGAAACCACCAGGTGACATGTTTGACTGTTGACATGCAATAAAGAATGAACAAATAAGATGAGACAGCTTACCTTTGCAGATCTGCACGATGCCCATGATGATGATGAGGCCGAGGGCCAGCAGTTTGCCGGCGGTGAACATGTCCTGAACCCTGGTGGCCCATCTGACGCTGGAGCAGTTGACCCAAGTTAACAGCACTGCACAAAAACGAACAAAAGGTTTATTTTACCTCTTAAAAACCTAAAAATACAAAAGTTTCATCTTTTGGAAGACTGGAGTTGTCCTTGCACAGAAGACTGTCAGTGAGTTCAGGCCAACAGGGGGCCATCAAGACTTTTGGTTTTTATTTAGTTCATCGCAGGAGTAAACATCAAGCTGAGCTGCGTGCAGAGAACAGATGCACAAGAACAGACATGCATACGTCCTCCAACCCTGCACTGAGAAGAGTTTCCAAACTGGATCTGTTTCCGACATTTAAGGAAGTTGAAGAGATTTAGGAACCGCTAACAGCAGAAGTCAGTGTACGTGAGGGGAGGACACTTGACTGGATGTTAAAGGTTGCAGTGCTCTGAGGACAAACAG